GTGGAGGTGACTTCAGTGGTATACTGATATACATGGACTATTTCAAGAGTCGTCTGGGCAAGCCGACACCCGACATGTCGCACCCGACCAGGGATTGGCGAGGAACTTGACAAGTCCTGCTGTCCGCACAGTCTGTGGTGGATCAATGTCAACAAGCCACCATGGTCTCTACGGTCCTCCGTTCCTGCAGAAAGGGCCCAATACCCATACGTGCTCCAGTCTTTGGTGTGGTTCCAGCGGGTGCCCTGAATGCATGCAATGTCAACAGCATGATGACTGAGATACTGCATGAGCTCTTGCCAAGTGGCGCTGGTGAGTCCTCCGGCGTTCCACGAGAGGAAGGAGCAGCGTGGACCGCCAAAGCGCGGAAGTGAAGCACATGGCCTCTGCAGAAAGGGAAAGGTCGTCCATGTCGAAGGCTTGCAGGTGCCGCCGGTCATAGAGGAGGTAGGAGGGGTAGTCTGTGGCAGAGGCATTCCCAGTGGCATCGAAGGTGCCATCAGCAAGCGCCCTTTGTACGAAGTGCAACCATCCCTCATCAAACGATGCATCGCTCTTTTATAGCTCTTCTTCGTGCTCCAGGTTGAGCAGTGCCCTTTTGCCCCGATGGGGCCTTCTGGGTGCCCTTTCCCACGATTATTTTGGAGGGAGCTTGGGGGTACGTGACCGACCTGGTCTCCTCCTTCCTTCGTCGTGGACCGAAGGAAACCCTCACCTCTCGTGGACCAAAAACTTTGCGAACACATGCCAAGTTGCAAGGATCCACGCCCGGACTTGGGACCGGGATGCTCAAGGCCAGACCAGGCAAGGAGCAGCAGCTTGATGATCAAGCCAGCAGCTATCGAACGTCGGCGAGTGCGAGCGGCGGGTCGAACCCCGCTACTGGAGGGCTGGCATTTCTGGCCACCTTGAGCATTGAGGCTTAGGACACCAGAGAAGGACACAGGGTTCGCCAGCGTGGCCAGAGGATGGCAGCAGCAGGAGGACAAACGGAGGACAAGAAGAGGACAACGCTGGATGACAAGGTTCAGGGGAGGGACCAGAGACTGTGGCCGTCTTCTTTTTTCTAAGAGAGAACCCCCCAACAATTACTGTAACTCTTTGGGCAAGAAGGACAAGAAGAGGACAAAGAGAGGACAAGAAGAGGACAAGACGAGGACAAGGAGGACAAGCGGAGAACAAGAGAAGGACAAGAGAACGACAAGAGGAGGACAAAAGGGAGGGCAAGAGAATGACAGGAGGAGCACAAGAGAAGGACAAGAGGGCAAGGGACCAGAGGAGGAAACAGAGGGCGCCGGCCCCGAGGGCCTTCGGTTGTAACTGAAGGCCACCTCCGACCCACCTCTGACCCACGTTATTTTTATAGTGTTTTGTGTCGGTGAGGTGCAAAAAGCACTGTGTTTTACAGGGTTTTGTGCGCGTGGAAGAGGCAACGCGGCGAAGATTGAGAAATGCAAAGACTACGTGTTTTCCAAGGGTGGTGTCGGTAACGCGCGCCGCGCGGACAGGCATAATCGGCATTTTGTGGGTGCTGGGCGCGTGCCAACATCAAGATGACCAAACAGAGGGCCCCAAGATGACCCAACATAGGTCCCAGATATGCCCAACATAGCCCCAAGATGGGCCAACATAGCCTCAAGATGCGTCAACATAGGCCCCAGACGGCATCAACCAGGAGAGCGAGAGCAGGGACCCGAAAACTATGCGCTTTACGGTGTTTTCGGGGTTGCGAAAAGAAATGTCTGGAGTAGATGTCCGAGAACCATGTGCTTTACAGAGTTCTCGGGGTTGCAGACAGAAGTGTCTAGATTGAACCTGTGCGAAAACCATGTGTTTTACAGTGCCTGCGGGGCTGCGACTGGATTGAGCGTGTGCGAAAACCATGTGTTTTATGGTTTTTTTCGGGGTTGCGGCAAGAAGCGTTCGGGCTAGACATGTCGGAGAAGCAACCTCTACAGGACAGTCCGCCTCCTTCTCGCGGAGGATACTGCCGGGGTCCCCCACCCGTTTCCTCACTATCCCTTCCTTCTCTCCCGTCCCTGCCCCGGCCGGCGCCCGGCTGTCAGGCGTAAGCCTTTAAATAGATACACCGGATACAAGCTGCCCAATCTCAGGAAACATTTTGGATGCAGGATTGCCACTTCCCGCCCCTTGCAGCCCTTCGGAGGTCTTCCACGGCGTGGGCATGGCCGAATCAGACATCCTTTGGTGGCCACCGCCTCAGGGCGAAAAAGTAGCAAGCAGAGTCACCGACGGAGTTGGGGGAGAGGTATCTTCGTGGATTGGGGCGCCGGAATGCACTGAGTGTGGTTATGCGCACACTTCGAGTCGGAATGTTTTGTACTTGCTTGTCACGGTTTCTAAACAATCCAAAACATTTATGAACATGGAATATGGTGTGTGCCGTGTGCCTTCAAAATATACAATAAATACATATATAAATACAAGTTGATGGTTTTGTGGGTCGATGTTTGTAGATTCCATTTGGGGGCACCTTTCTGTTGGCAGGTGGCGCTGGCAACCCAAGCGCACGGGCACATTAGTCCAAACATGATACGATCTGACAAAAAAATCGTGGCCGTGTGTGGTATCTCAATCCAGACACTCCATATATATATATATATATCCTTGACAAAATGTTTAGGACAATAGTGGGCAGTTATGTTGATATCAATGTCTCAAGGTCGATCTGGAATATGCATTTTGTAGTGGTTATTTCTTAGTGGTTATTTATTGGCGTCTCAAAGGATCTATCATTGGTGGTTCTTTCCATTTTGTGGTGTTTGTTGTCTTAAACAAAACAGAGCGGCTGAATTTGGCAATTTGTAGTCAGCAGTGCTGCTGGTTTTTCATTGGCTTTGCTTGTGTGGCAAGTTCATTTTGTAGTATGTTTATTCTAACTTTTTGATGGCTGTTGCACTTAATGCGGGTCATTGTGGCTTGATCATTTTGTAGCACTGGTGCCTGTGGAACTGTATTTTGTAAGGAGGCTTGCATCTAGGCATTGTTATTTTGTAGAGATTCAGGGTGGTTTTTTACTACAAAATCAAGGTCCCCAACGTCAACCCAAAATGTTAACAGGGTTTATATATATATATATATTAGATTGGGGCGATTTCAGGGGTCAATGTAGGCATCTAATTGTTCCAATCCCAGAGAGTGTCTGGGAAAGTTCACCCCTTTGAACCAAGTTCTGGACGTAGGGACCAACCTTTCATATCCAAGGGTCGTGTGATGAGTTGACGGGACCGACCAGGCCAAAACTGATTCACCTAAATTTGGTCACAGTTATTTGTTATTAAACAATTGCTTAGTCTTGTTGAATTCGGGATGTATGCATGTGACCATACACCTGTAAAATGATTTTGAATGATTTTGATATCTTCTCCAAGCGCGAAACATCGCGCGACAATCGCTCCGTATCGCTGCTGCTGTGGAGGATGGAGCATCCACTTCGAGCTCTGGTACTTCAAGCGCAAGTGTCGGGGCCACTCAGAAGTCTTTTTCCCCCAAAACGGTTTTGCTGGCTAACAGGGGGGGGAATGCCACAGGGGTATACATGCATCATCATGCATCTGCATAGGGGGGCAGATGTTTTTGAATGTTTTTGATGGTGTTGTTTTGTTCAAAGTCAGGCCCGAAGATCATTAGTATAGCCAAGGCGCTGCGGTCCGTTGCATTGTGCGCATGGGAAAAAAAGAACGTGTTGTGTTGATTTGTGTTGTTCATTTCGCTCATGTTACCTTCCCCTTGGTGTCAAAGAGAGGGTCGTTTTTTTGAGGCAGGCGAGGTCGACGACATACCCTGAGAGTCCAGTCATGACTCATTTTACCATATGTTTTACTCTATATGAGAGTGGCGGATTAGGACTACCAGGTGAGGTTTCTAATGAGTCAAAACGGATGGGGATAGGAGACACCGACCTGAAATCCCAGAAGCTGCCAGAAGGATCCAGAAGGTTTCCGTTTCTTTTATTATTTGTGTGTGAGACAGTGTGTTTTGTAGGTTTCAGGTCGATGATCAATCTGCTTGGAAGTTCTGATGGCACCAAGGCGTTGTATTTTTGGACCCACCCAGCTGGTCATAGTTGGACTCGGAAGGTCAAACGGATGGCCATGGGGACCGGAAGGCCTCCAAGAGAGGTTGAGAGTGACCTGAACTGGGACCACATAGTGGTACACATCCTGAAATCATTGTGGATGGCCCCTGGAAAGACCAGTTTCCTCTATACTGACAGGTGGTGAACTCCACTTCCATGTTTGTTCCAGGGAGTGTACATATACCTGGAGTCTCAAAGTACCTCGGAAAATGGGTACAAGTACCTGTTTTTTTAATAGGGTCATATCCCATGTTCTAAGGTACTTGAAGTCGGGTCCAGGTATGGGATAGACTACCTCGGACGGTGAAAAACCTCTCTAGGCGAGCTTCGGAACGGTTCCGAGTCGCGGTAAAGCGGCTTCCCCATGTGGCACACTCCAACGTCTCAAAAGAGCGGTCCCAGACACGACCTGTCTGGGACTGCCATATATGCCGATCAGTTGGGGTGGTTTGGGGGGGTCAATGTAGGGACTGCTATAGGGACTGCCATAGGACTGCCGATCAGGCCAGGGGTGGTGCCAGAGGGGGTCTGTCTGGGGCGGCAGTCCTATGGCAGTCCCATTAGTCGTGTCTGGGGGTATTGAAGTCCTGCAAAAACTGAGCTCGAGCCTTAAGTTGATGGTCTTCCATCATGTGGGTCATGGAGTAAGCTCTTGAGGATCATTGAGTATTGAAACCCCGCAAACGAAGAGATGTTCTATACCCAAATTGGGGAGGTGTTTATGAATCAAAGAGTCTACCTGCACTCACTATGACACTATGATTCAATAACATCAGGCCAAACACACCAGTGGCAGCTCAGGCACGAACAGTGTGCTCCCCTCCAACCCTTCACCACTTCTTTCGTGCGGAATCCAACGTGCGGAATCCGCCGCTTCATGCTGCGCGTGCGCACGCGCAGGATGGTGGGCATGTGGCGTCGGAACGGTGAGGCTTTGGAGCATGAGAGCGAGTTCTATCGGATGAACTATTGGCAACTCGGTGAGGGAGAGTTGGGTCACCAGTCAATATCACTCCTCCTCTCCATGGCAGGGAGTCGGATTCGACCTTTTTGCGTCCGGACCCGAACCAAACCCTTTCCCATTTGACGGCTCGGTATGGTAATTTGGCTGAACCCTATAGGGCTCCAACCACCTCCGTTTCGAAGGTGGGGTGGGGTGGGTGCCAGGGGGGTCTGTGCCCACCTTCACCTGAGGATATGGGCCAGGAGCCCTATAGGGGAAGATCGTACATGGAGACCGTAGGCACCGTGATGGGTCGAAGCCATGCATCTGTGGCTTTCAGACTGGGAAGCACCGGTGAAGGAGGTCTTTGGCCAGTTCGTGACGGATGTTCTCATCCATGAGGAAGTGAGAGTTCCCCGCGGTTTGTGAACGAGTGAATACGTAATACGTAGCAGTCTGTCACCCCTGGAAATGTTGTGGCAGCTTGAGGAATTTGCTACGATTGAGTGGAAAGGGACAGTGAACTAAGCACAAGCAGCACACGCAAACAGAAACGTCTCTACAGCGAAGATGCTTTCCGGAGATGTTGATATAATACCTAGACACTCCATGTATGGTATATAATATGCCTACATTGACCCCTGAAACCACCCCAATGTATGTAAATATGCCATACATGGAGTATATGGGATAGGTGGTGGTTTGGGATATGATTCTTTTCGACCTTTACTTGGGATGAGTTCGACCTGACATGTTTCAATGAGTTAGCACCACCAACCAGTAATATATCATTGGATGCATCTTTGGGGTGTGTTTGGTACGATATCAGGCTCCGTTTAGGCTCCGACCAGTGATTCATGACTAGGGACTGGCCGATTGACGCCATTGATTAGGAGGTGGTTTTGGGGGGATCAACCTGCCAGGGGGGTGAGTCATGAGTTGGGGGTGACTGTACTAGTTGAGTGGTTTGGTGGCTTGTCACAGTAGTCGCTGGTGTGCATGGATATGCATGGTATGTGAGACCTGGCTTTGGGACTCAGGCATCACCTGCTGATTGACGCGGATCTACTGGTCTTGCGTCTTTCGACTTTGATGGTGAGGCCTGGCAAAAACAGTAACTGGACCACGAGTGAACGGAAATGGTTAAGAGGGAAGTGAGTTACAAGCACACACGATAGAATCCTTGAGATGATTTGAGATGTGGCTATGAGTCTGACACCTCCCTCAAACCATGCTAGGTTGACACCCCCCACTTCTTCGCGTGCCCGGGTGTTGGGGATCCACTGCCACCCTGGGAAGTTGGAGAACTCCTCAAAGAACGCCATCCAGTTGACATCCGCACCTCGGTCCATGGTGAGACTGCCAGGACGGACTGCCGATCAGGCCAGGGTTGGTGCCAGGGGGGGTCTGTCTGGCGCGGCAGTCCGTCCTGGCAGTCCCAGACAGGTCGTGTCTGGGAAAAGGTCCGTTGGACCGGAGCTCGAGCTCCGCTCCAGTTCGCACCGCCTTCGCAGATCTACGCATTCGCCGAGTCCTGCGTAGGGAATTGGTTCGAATAGATAGATCCATGAACAGATTGATATATATATATATATAACTACGTAGGAATCATCTATCTATCTTCTTGTGACGAAGACAGTCCATGAACTGACTGTCTGACATGCAGAGATTGCTCCTCTCCGAGGCCTGAAAGCTTCTTCCGCATCACGATGAAGCGGTCCATTGCCACAGCGGTCCGTTCTGGGCAGAGTCAGCTCGGTGAAGGTGAAGCGGCTTTCCTCCCGCTGATAAGGTGATTCTGCATGTTAGTCTAGCTTTGGCTCAGGCCTGACGGAGCCGGAGGTATCCATATTCCAACATTTAGGGTTATGTCGGGCACGCCAGCCATAGATACAAGGAGCCAAAATAGTTTTGTAAAGCAAAAACAAAGCAAAAAAAAGCCAAAGGCAAAGCAAACAAAAAAACAAAAAAATGTAGCTGTGCGTATTTGTCGGTTGTTTTTCACTGTTTATTCGCTTTATTTTCGCCTTTTTTTTTTTCGCTTTTGTTTTGCTTTTTTTTTCGGTTTTTGTGCTTTTTTCCTAGGAGGGTACAGCTGTTTTTTCGCTTTTGTTTTTATGCTGTACCCTCATCCTAGGAAAAAAAGCGAAAACAAAGCGAAAAACATGCGAAAATAAAGCGAAACAAAAGTGAAAAAAAAGCGACAAATACGCACAGCTACATTTTTTTGTTTTTTTTTTTTGCCTTTTATTGCGCTTTGTTTTTGCTTTGTTATTTGCTTTTGTTTTGCCTTGTTTTTGTTTTTTGCTTTGTTTTTGCTTTGTTTTTGCATTTTCATTTGCTTTTATTTTGCTTTTTTTTTCACTGTTTTTCACACAAACAAAACTATTTGATGGTTGGCCATGTATGGCTGCCATCGCCCAACATAAATTTAGGGAGGTCAAGACACGGCAACTGTTTGGCATTTGTTTGCATGACATATGTACTTGTTTAGACTCGATCGACTTGTCAGTGACGGTGTTTCCAGGGCGCCCCTCTAGTTCCAGACAGACCCAGTTGGATGGGGGGATTCGTTTTGGACCAGAAAGAACGCATAAGACCTGGAGGAGGTAGCAGCTGGTTAAGGGGGTTAGGATGATCATCCTTGTTTACATTCCCTGAAATCATCATGGAAGTGGAAACTGGTCCCTTAGATGACCACTTTCCTCTACAAACAGGTGGTTTTCCACTTCCTATTTCAGGGAGTGTACCTATTTTTCTTATTGGCGTACGCTGCATGCAATTCCCAACTTGTTTTGGAATTTCCTTCATTAACGCTCAGACCGGCTCGGTCAGTCCTTTAACAGTCGCCACCAACCTGGAGAGAACCCTAAGAAAGACGATTTCTGGTCACTATAAAGATGATTCCTGGTCACTGAAGATGATTCCTGGTCACCAACCTGAGTGTGTCCTAATCACGACCCCAATCTACAAGCCACTGGACATGCAATCAGCCCCCTACGTATGCTCATGAATGAATCAGGAACCCAACCTCCCCACTCCCCACTTGCCGATCGAAACTCCCTAAGCTTCGCTGTTGGGGAACGACAGATCATACCATGAACCTGCGACACCTCCCCCACGTACCGAAGTCCAACAGAAGACCGTACCGAAGACCAACTCATGAGATCGTGGCCGCGAAGCTCCCACACTAGGGTGGGTGGGTGGGTGGACATCCACTTTGCTTAGCAAAGATAGACATGACATGCTTCCTAGGCAACTTCTGACCTACTTCGCGAACTGGATGGAACCCGGACTCCTTCTGACCCTCTTCTCCTCTCCCGCATGGACCCGCATTGACGCCCCGCCGCGGCGAGGTTCGAGCTCCACCGGTGGCTGGAGAAGGGCGATCCTTTGGCCAGGCTCCGTTCGTCAGAGAGCGGGCCCCGGACCGGGGGGGGGGTGCTTCAACGAAGCGGAGAAGAGCCGGATGGCCATGTTTTTGGTTGTTTCACCGCGGAATCTTTTTGGACCAACATGTGGCGCAAGGCCGTGAAACCCCCATTCGCTTCTCACTAGAATCTCAGTACCTGGCTGGACCTTCCAAAGAGCTTTCAATTCACAGATCGTGTAGGGTACTCCTTTGGAAGGTGCTGGTCATCAAACATGTCGAATGGTCCAGACCTCGAAGCCATGAGCAGGGTGATGCAGAAGGACCGAGGAAGGACCGGATCCGGACTGAGGCAGTGTAACACAACCTGGCCGTGGAACAACCGTCCAGAGAGGAAGGCCTAAAGACTTGGAAAACAAATACAGGAGTCGCATGAGTGGATGTGACAGGGGCACCCAACTCCTTCCTCCATGAATAGCACTCAAGTCCATGGAACTGCCGCCAAAGGAATATAACAATCTATAAGAATCATACCAGCACCTTCCTTACGGGGTCATGGAATACTCATGGATCTCCATCCACACGTAGCGGGTGGATCTCCGAGACCCCTCAAAAAGGGTCCATGATGGGCAATTAATATCCAATTGTTACACAGTACAAATAGGACTTGGTTTCCTCATCACATGACCCATCACCCAGGCTGCTTAAGCAATCCGCCAGGCTTTTATCCGCCAAAGCGCGGGACGCGGAGCAAGAGAGCGATCCCTTTGCGATGCAAAAGCTTCAAAGCTATGTGCTCTTGTGCGGCTCTCAGTGGATGGTCGCTCTGCCATTCTCTGCGTGCAAAGAGATAGAATGCGAGATAATGAGAGAGAGAGAGAGAGCACGAATCGCATGCGGAGAAGGAAGGGTTGCCTTTGAACACCGTATGAACATCCCGTTTTGAACCATCTTTAACGTTTAACTCTGGTTCCAACGATAGTCCTTCGTATCTCTCACACACAAGGTTCTGCTCTCTCACCGGACGGAAGATGAAATACCCGAACCGACCAAAGCATCGGTGATGAGACTCCATAGAATCAGATTTTGCCGCGTTGCTGCATCCTACGGGCCAAAATTGATACCTCAATAAACACACTTCGATCGACTCGTCCCTGAAACATCCGCGACCTGTGCGCCAAGTTTGTACCACATGCTGAGTGGACACACGCCTTTGTCTTTGACCTGGCAGCAGCTCGTGACCCACACCACCAGGCCGGCCATACCCACGGCACCGTATCGGCATTTTGGATGCACGGCGCGTTTCGCCGGTGGAGCGTTTGGTTGGGCTGTTTGGGCCCCTGGCCTTGCCGAATGCAGAGTCACAGGCCAAGGTTCTCAGAACTTGGCAGTGTCTTAGGTAGCAGTGTCTTAGGACCTTTGTGTTGCAGGATCTTCCAAATTCTTCAAGTGAGCCCAGGACAAACATGGATACATAGACTGTTTCTGTGCCATAAATGGTCCAAAGAGCACTGGCTGGTTGCTTTGGTTTCCAGGCTGTTCTAGCTTTGTGGAGCCGAGCACAATATTATGGGTTGACATTTTTTTTTCAGGTGTTTCGTGTTCTTCGTGCGTTTGCCGATTCTAGTTCAGCTGGACTCAGTAGGTACTTCTTAGTGTTCCCTAGCAGCTTTGAATTGAACTCGAATTGGCCAAACATCAGCTGGACTTAGTTCAGCTGGACTTAGGGAGGCCTTTGCTCTTAGGTTGGAGGCCATCGCTCGAATTGCTCCATCCATCCGTCCTCGCCGAACGTCCGGTCGCACAGGCAGTTTCTGGGCGTCGGGGCCAAGAGCCATTCGCAGCTGTGGGATCCTCGTTTGGAACGTCCGGACGCTGAGAGCCGCAGGGGAGGCTGCCAGGAGGCCGGAGGTGATCCTCGTGTGTTTTTGTTGGTGATTGGGTGCAATGCGATTGGGCGCAATGCGTGCATGCGCTTGGGAAGTCCGGCTTATCCCGGCAGTGGAGAAACCGGGTGGTGTGCTTATTGATGTTTTTTTTGGTTATTGTTTGCAATGTGCGGGCCGTTCTACCCCGGCAGTGGAGAACCGGGTGGATGGGTTTCCCCCACCATACAAAGATGAACTGGCCTCCCAGGCACGCTGCATTTGTTCCAAGAGACCTGACATGGTACTCCTGGATGGTTTCTTCCCTTCCTAGAAGGTCCACCCTGGTGGAGACCTTTAGAATTTATGGCGGGTGAAAACCGACCTCGTTTCGTCATTTTCATCTGTGTGGAGATTGATAGGGAGTGAATTGGTTCGTTCATACTGTTCACCCAAGTAAAATGAGAGCTGGCTGAGCTCAGCCTCGCTGGTATAGGCATAGGTCCAACAAAACCAAGGCTGGCTGGTAGTATGATGGTTTGGAGAGTAGATAATTGTACTTTCCATCCTCCAAGAGGTCTCCACAATGGTAGCTTTTTGAAGACTTAACAGTGCGTTCCGGGTGGTGACCTGGCAGGTCCGGGTGCTGGGACTTTGCCAAATGCCCAAGATGTTCTGGTCATTCTGGGAAAAAGCCGTAAAGTTCAGTTCTTTGTCCAAGTAGTGGTTGTACCCAAAATGACCAAAAAGAGTCAAGTCAAAAGAGTATGGCAGGCCTACCCATACCAAAACCATATTGGTTCAACAACATGTAGAATAAAAGCACACAACGAAAAAGCATCGCAGCAACATGTAGCAACTCTCCCATAAGTGGCTCCAGATAATACAGATAATCACAGTCGTAATGACTCGACTGAAAAAAGACATGGTCAAGGCCGTTTGACCAAATTGTGGCTTTCCAGGTGGAGTTGACACAGACTCATCTCAAAATGACTCGGAAGAGCCGCAACCCGTAGAAGAGCACATGGATTCCAAACAATTTGCTGGAGTCTCCCCCTTCTTTGGGGTGTTATGTCGTGCTGTTTTTTTTCTGTTCCCATTTCTTGGGCCATGGACCCTTCCCCATTTCTTGTTGATTTGTGTCTCATTGTATATCCAAGCCGATACGATCATCCACATCACCGAGACGGCCCTTCCGCCGCAGAGCGCGGGTCCAGGCTCCACCGCAACGGCCATGGTCAACGACCAGCAGACGCGCCTCGGCACCGCTAGTGTCGTCGTGGATTGCAAAGACCTGCTACCAAGACTTTAAGGGGTGTCTATAGCCTCCAAAAAGAGGTTAAGGGGATTTAAGGGTTGTCTATTGCTCACCTCCTGGTGGGTCCTCTCTAGGAGGGGACACTTGGGTGCAGCATTATACTAGTGAGCATGGGGTGACTTTGACTTCATACGGACAAAACGCTGACCGAGCAATGGTTTTGGTGCCTCGGAGATGCGAACCCGAAGTCCCATTGGTCAAAGAGACTCATCAGGAGAGTCACATGTTTTTGTTGCATTTTTTTTTGCAGGTTTTTGTTGTGCTACACCCTCACAGCTCACCCCTTTCTTTTCTTATGAAGTAGGGTTGTGATTTCCAGAGCCTGGAATATTTATTTCAGCCGCACGCGCGCTTTTCTTATTTGCCACTTGTGGTTTTTGTTCCACGTGGCTGGATGCAGTGAGGTTGGAAGCTGCATTGAAGGAGAGGGTGAGTATGGACATTTGCTGGAACATCGAGTGAAGAGCAACACCAAATCAGTGAAGAGCAACACGGAACACCGTTTCTCCAGGATTTTTGAACCAAAGTTGATCAGCTGGCCCAAAAAATGGTTTGATTGGTCTCTCCTGTTGCTGTGGGTGGGTCCCAGGAAATCCAGTTTGCCATAGATGCAGTTGTAGAACATGTTCGAGCTTGGTTGGCCTGGAGAAAGCCTTCGTTCTTGATAGTGGTACTCATGCAAGAAACATAAATCATCGAACTGGTCCCAGAAGCGTCCGTTGTTTTCAAACGGGCCTGTCTTTTTTGTATTCTAGAGTTTCCTGAACAGGTTTCACCCCCGCCAAGCTAGTTTTGGCACCATGGGACATTTTTTGAGGCAACACTGGGCCTCAAATGAATTAACAAGTGGAAAAATGATGAGAAGGGTGAACCTTTATTTTGGGGTCAGTCTTCAGGGAACATCCTGGATAAATATCTAGAATCTCAAGCCAACACCCAGCTAGTCCCAGCTAGGGGTTTTGGGAGGTTGACAAAAAGCAAAGCTTGGCACATCTCGAAGCTGATGCACACCGGAGTCCGCAGTACTGATCCCAACGGAAGGAACATCTCAAATGGTCTTTGGAGCGCTCTCCAGCGGTTCATATCACCCTCGCAAACTGCGGATGGCATGGTCATGTCAATGTGGTGAGGATCACCCTGGACCGTATGTTTGATGAAAACAGGTCAGGACTCAGGACCATCCAATCAGTCGCCCATGGTGCCTTAGGTAGGGAAGGGTAGGCTATTGGGCATCCAATCCTTATGTCTTTCTTGGGGGAGTCAAAACCTCAACCCTCTCAGTCAACCATGCTGGATTGACCTCTGCGGTAAACTGTTTGTGCTCAGATCCATGACCCGGTTCGAAATAGGTGAGTGTACCTTGGAATATGGTCACCAGGATATATATACTAGGACCGACCCTCAGTTCGACCTCCTGGAAGAGGAATTCAACTTGAAACCTCTTCCTTGGAGTCTTTCTTATTCAACCTTAATTACACAGGATTTGGTTGGAACCCTATTCAGTCCCCTCTTTGTCACCCTCCTTCAGCGGCGTTCTTGCCTTTTTCACCTGCGTGTCACCCGTCGCGGCCGAACCAACGGCCCGTGTCGAAACGCCCCGCGCCGATGGCGGAGGAGATCAGCGACTTCTCGGCGGCCGATGGCACCGGCCACGGTTCCGCCAAGTGCCCTCCGGTGGTCGGTCGCACGCAGAACGGAGCGGAGCGGGTTGTCCTCCGCGGAGCTGGAGGACGGGAGATGGAGGGGTGCTCCGTCGTGCGAAAGACGGACGGGTCGGGTGGATTCACAGGGCGGAGGGGCGGAGGGTCGGGTGCAGCCGGTGAGGTTGGGGGTTCAGGAGGTGAAACTGGGGGGCCAACGAATGGGTCTTGAGGCAATGCAGGCTTTCGAAAGTGGTGTTTTTTGCGCCAGGCCATTGTATACATGGGGCATAGGGAAGTTCTTGAGCAGAAGATGATTCAACTGGAGCCATTCAGACATCTTTTGGACATCAAAAACGGTGGGTTTGGGATGGCTGGATGACACCTGGCAAATCTGGCCAGGAGTTCTCGCAATTTAATGATTCGCACCGTCTTTCTTTGCCCAAGACTCGTTTGGAGGGACGAGGAGTGTAGAAATGCCGGGTGGCATCATTGGGCAGGCTTTGATCGAGTACCTCGGTCAGCCTCGGTCCAAAAGAAATATATTCAAATAAAGTTTGTGAATAAAACCATATGAAGAGGCTTAATTATGTATTATTAGTTCAAATGAGGGGGGTTGATTCATCAAGAAATTTGGTTGTCCCTCGGTGTAACCGTCAGTTCTAGTAAGTCTACTAGTTATGTTCTAATGCTTTTCCAGGTCCCGAGGGCGTTGCGTTGCTTTGGTCAACAACCTGCTGCCAGAATGAAACCTTTGGTCCAGTTCATGAACGGGGGGGGTTCAAGTTCAAGTTCTGGGGAAAAGATAGCGGGTTTGATCCTCCATTCTCCACTAAGCAGGGAATGGTCTCTCTCCCAGGTACCATTTGAACAGCTCGCAGCGACTCGGACCGGGGGATCCATGTGGGACGTCTCATCCGCGCTCCGTTCGTAGCGTCCTTGCTCCTAGTAGTACGGCCAGGAGCCCCTAGTAACTAGGCCCTAGTAGCGTCCGATCGCTCCTAGTAGCGATGCCCTTTGCTCCTAGTAGCGTCCTTGCTCCTAGTAGTGCAAAATTATGCAGAGGTGTTGGTGATCATCTTGATGTTCGAGTCAGAAGAAGGCTTTGATTCTACCAGGGGACGGCTGTTGCGCAGGTTGGTGGGACAAATTGAGGAAGCTCGCTGCCAGTGCGAAAGAGCAGTTCCCTAACTATATATACTTCATCCAACGTGGTGTGAAGTCTAGGGCCTATATCTTGCTTGCAATAGGGAAGGACAACGTATGAAAAGAATGTTTGCTCAACTGCAAAGGTGCAACTGCCTTCGGCAACAATCGCACAAGCCATGTCAAGCCATGTCAAGGAAACGATACTTCAAAGGTTCGCGTGGTGGAGAAGCATCCAGCGGAGCATGTTCGAACTTCAACAGAGCACAGGACTGGTCCACACATTCAGATTCCCATGATGGTCCGATCCGGTTCTTTATTTTTTTTGGTTGTTTTTCTTCCAAATCCATCCCCATTCCACCCGGATCAATATGGGCACAAAACACATCAAAAAGCACCCTATAGATGCATGATGATGCATGTGTTCCTGTTTGGGTCACCTTCCCGACTTCGAGAAAGCCGACTCGGCAGAGCCCCGGAACCTCGCTGGTCTGTCTCAAGAAGACAGATCTGAGCCCACCTCGGTCCTGGCAGGGCTCGGACTTCCCGGCAACGGCTCCTGGCACAGCTCCGTTTCGATGCGACAGGGGGTGGAAGACCAGGGGAAGACAAGACCACCTGAGGATTTGGACTCGACAGTCTGAGGTGGTTTGCTGTGGACCCCTACTTCCATCTCCTCAGTTGGAGTCCGGGGGCCAAACTTCTGCATTTTCTCGCTGTCTTCTGGGGATGTGCGGGGTGGAGAGTCATGTGGACTGTCAGCTGTTGTCAGATCAAGTTCGGGGTTTTTGATTGGCTGTGGCTCGGATGAACTCAGTACAGTATATAACTACGGGGGTCTATTAATCCTGACTTTAGAATATATATGGATAATATCATTTTTTCATGGGTGTGCTATGGTGTGCTGTATGGTATTCTGAATTCTGAGTTCAAATTGTTTCCCTTGTTCATGTATGTGGCCGATGAGTTCATATCCAGTTGTGTAGAAAAGGTGTTTCACCTCCAATGAAGCCCATCACTTCTCAGTTATAGGGTCCCTTCCTCTTTCCTCTATCTCAAGAAGACAGGGACAACGGGGACAACCTAAAAGCCGGTTGGGTACCAGTTGAACCAGTTTTCACGGGCCAATCGTACTTTCCAGCCGTGCCGTCCTCGTACAAGGTGAGCAGCAAAAAGTGGAGGAGAACCTCGCCTCGGCATTGAAGGCGAACGGAAGCATCGCAGGGAAGGTTCTGTGTAGCATGGCCGGTGGGAAGATGTTGTGTTCAAAGGTCTGGAATTTGAAAGTTGTTTTTTTGGGGGGGCAATCCTGCTATGATTCTTATGTGTGTGTGTTGAAAAAGCAATTAGTGCCATCGCCTCAATCCCAAACAGGATCAAGCAGGTGAAAAATTGTTTGCCACGCTTGATCACCAGAAGACCAAAGTCACAACATGGCCCCACCTACTGCAGTGGAGGATCGTGGAGGAAAATCCGGATACGATAAGTCCACATGCTGAGGGGTTTGTGTCCTGTTAATGGAGCATCCAAAATGGACGGAGATCGTTGCTGCCCCAGGATTTCTTCATCCACTACTTCCACACGGTCACTATATCCTTTATAATCCTGTATTTATTCACCAAACAGTTTACTGTTAGGGGTTCTCAATGCTTTAAAGAATGGTCGCCTTGGTGCTGGATGGTCTGGTCGGGTTCCCGGCCGGCTTGTCTCCCACTTCCTTTCATTTGTCTCCCACTTCTTTTCATTTGTCTCCCAGGCTGGGTGCTTGTGGTCGGGTTCCCGGCTGGCTTGTCTCCCACTTCCTTTCATTTGTCTCCCACTTCTTTTCATTTGTCTCCCACTTCTTTTCATTGTCTCCCAGGCTGGGTGCTTGAGGTGCTTGTCTCCCACTTCTTTTCATTTGTCTCCCACTTCTTTTCATTTGTCTCACTGGTCGGGTTCCCGGCTGGCTTGTCTCCCACTTCCTTTCATTTGTCTCCCAGGCTCGGTGCTTGTGGTCGGGTTCCCGGCCGGCTTGTCTCCCACTTCCTTTCATTTTTTGTCTCCCAGGTCTGTCATTGGTGGTGTCCGCCCTTGTCCGTTGGCCATACAGCATTTCTATTCAGGCCTGTCACTGGTGGTGTCGCATTTCTATTAATTTGTCTCCCAGGTCCGTCAGTGCTGGTGCCATGTAGCATTTCTATTCATTTGTCTTTCAGGTCTGTCACTGGTGGTGTCCAGCCTTGTGTGTTGGCCATGAAGCATTTCTATTCATTTGTTTCCTAGGTCCGTTACTGCTGGTGTCCGCCCTTTTCCGTTGGCCATGTAGCATTTCTACTCATTTGTCTCCCAGGTCTGTCACTGCTGGTGTCCGCCCTTTTCTGCAGGCAATGCAGCATTTCTATTCATTTGTCTCCCAGGTCTGTCACTGCTGTGTGTCCGCCCTTTTCCGTCGGCCATGCAGCATTTCTATTCATTACTCTCCCAGGTCTGTCACTGTTTTTTTGTCCGCCCTTTTCCGCTGGCGATGCAACATGTCACTGCTGGTGTCCGCCCTTTTCCGCTGGCCATGCAGCATTTCTATTCATTTGTTTCCCGGGTCTGTCACTGGTGCTGCCGCCCTTTTCCGCTGGCCATGTAGCATTTCATCTATTCATTTGTCTCCCATGTGATTTCTTTCTGTTTGTCTTTCAGGTTTGGTGCCTGCACTGCTGTTTTCTGCCCTGTCCGCTGGAACAGGTTCACCTGTGAAAGGTTCTTGCTCGTTTGAAAGGGGTGGGTGACTGTCTCCGGGATTGCATTCCTGCCACACTGTGTAACTCTCTCAGCTTTGTTTTCCTTTTCGGGCAAGCGTTGGATGAATGACCAGATTGGATTTCGGCGGCGTGGCAGCGATCTCTCTGTTCAGTTGGGACGGAGGGCATACGTCAGGCACCAAAAATCAATTTCATGTCACATCCTTCGCTCCTCATGCTTTTATTTCTTGTCCTCACGTGGTCAGCTCCCCGCTGGTTGAGCAGCATGACCAGCATCATGTTCGCACTTGAAGAATAATTCCCCAACAGGTTTACTGTTAGGGCTTCTCAATTCTTTCTTAAGATGTGTCCGCCCGCTCTGTACTGCTGTGTCCGTCTCTGCCTTGCAATCCTTTACATCTGTCTCCCAGCTGTAGGCTGCTGTGGCCGCCTCCGCCTTGCAATCCTTTGTCTCCCAGCTCTGGACGTCGCAAGCTCTAGTTTCGATATTGAAAAACACAAACTGTTTGGGGTCTACGGTGGTGTAGTAGGACCTTTACCTCTTCCAGGGACCCTGAAATTTCCAGACTTTTGGGGGTCTTTTCCGACACAGCCATGAGGCATACTAAGGCTTCCGAGTTAGGCGGTTTTCATCACGGCTTCTTGCCAAGCTGCAGCTGATATAGACAATATTACACAATATATACATCAATATCATTTCAAGTCATAATACCGTTGTAGGTCGACTGCCCCCAGTCGTGGTGTTTATTTTTGTTTGAAGTAAACCTAAGTGTTATTCCCACAAAGTGAGCTGGTATATAGGTGGCCCTTGAACATCCAATGTACCATCATGTACGACTAAACACTGATTGGTACATACCTAAACCTAGACCGACACATATATATATATATATGTAGACCTTAGGTTTAATGTAAGCGGCCCTTAAACATACCTAAACCTGACGACAAATGATTTGGACCCAACTGACACACATCCCTCGCGTCCCTCGTCGCCTCACCTCGTCGTCTCAACGCACCCCGTTGGGGCCAGGCCAACGGCCAAGATCTGGCTGACTGGGTGGAAGAGCGACTGGGACTGAAGGACAAAGTAAAAGAGATCTCGGGTGATTGGAAGCATTGATTCGTTGCGTGAAATACTCTAGACTCTTGACTAATAACCCCTTCCATTTGGATTGAACAGCGCACATGCACATGCACAGTCAGTGGCATTTGTTCTGAAGGTATGTGGACCACGGGGAGGTGACTATCATTTGGTGTATGGTGTATACATATTGATTGCCACGTGAACAGTGATGCCGTCCGGCCCTAGACCGGCCCTAGACCTGATCAGACTGGGGTGCTTCTATCTGAAGTTCCTTTTGGATGGACCCTTTGGCCCCCACAAAAGGTTAAAGTTGAACACCTGAAAGCCGAAAGCCAAAGATGTTCTTCTCTACATCTATACGCTACTATACCTGGGACCCTCCTGTCGGGGTGTCCTGGCTGGACTACCCCACACTACCTAGTTGGGCTTCCAGACAGGGCACCCCTTGTAGGAGGGTCCTGGTATGCAGTGCTTCTATTTGAGGTTCCATTTTGGTTCCAGAAACACTTCTCCTTCCTGGCGGCCTCGCGTCGTTTCGGCCGCTTCGTTGAGGTCCGCGCGCCGGGTGCCGCCCGTGCGCGGTGTCTATCGCGAGCCTTGGATCCGCTGGTGCTCCTCAGGAACGGCCTGGGCGACCCAATTGGAAGCGTCTCCGAAGCCGGTGGACCTCCCAGGTAGGACCATGTCAGGCAGTTCGGTTGACCATGTTCATTTTTTTTTTCGGATCAACCAGGGTCCCCCAGTTTTGACCCACTGCCATTAACTATATGAAAAGAAGAAGTCCCCCCCCAGACATGGAATTGTGAAACTTTTTATCGTTTTCTTTTTTGGTTTCCAGGACGTTTCTAAAACTTGCAAGAGCCAAGAGCCAGTCCTCAAGTCCATTTTCATGCGTAGAAGGTGGATGAATCATGAACAATCACCGCCCCAGACATGGATTTTAGAGCCTTTTCTTCAGGGGGGGTTGAAATATCAGCAACAGAGCGACACCATGGAACTTCCCATGTTGTGTTGTTTGGACATTGAGAGCCCAAAGGTCTCAGCCCATTCCATGCCCATTCCATGTGTGAAGAGATGTGCGAACACACTTTCAGCGTCCAGTGCACCATGCCCTTGGCCCTTCAAGTGCGAACGGCTTTAAGCTATATAAGCTCCACTTGTTGGAGAGTGGTGGTCACCGACCTGGAGAGCTGAAATCTGCTTGGCAAGCTAGGCGGCCTGGTGAACTGAACAGCATGGCATGGCATGAACAGCATGCAGTTGAAAGCCATATAGGTTGGCAACCTACAAAATGACCCTATCGGAATAACCAGCCTCAGTACCAGCATCACCTTGTGTTCTGCATGCGTTTGAAGCCCGACGGTGGGCAATTTAGAGCATCTTAAATCGATAACTATAGTTACCTATTTAGGTTGGAGGTGACATTAACCACACACACAAACACATGCACACGCACGCCTTTTTTAAGAACCATTCAGAAGCAAGGCGCCTAAGAGGGTCAAGAGCCTCGCCGCTGCTTGAAAAGCTTAGCATAGCGGGACGGCACCCGTCCCATAGAATCGGTGTGAGGGCTTCAGATCACTGACCATCACCAAAAGACCAAGAAGCAAGAAGCCAAAAGGTTGGGACCCAAACCGGCCTTTGTGCGTGTTGGGTGTATTGGCCAACTTATCTCTTGAGAACTCCTGAGGTGCAGGCCTTCTGTTGGCTCTTGCTGGTACGTTTGGCCTTCCAGCCTCAGAAGGCGCCGAGCCGAAGGAAGAGGGAGGAGTGAGATCGACGTGGTGCAGGCAGAAGTCATCCGATGTCCAGTGGAACAGTTCATGAAAATCTCGGGATCCACCCGAGTATTCCCGAGTGTACCAAGACGGGGGTGTCCACTTCCATGATTGCAGGGAGAGTCATCCCTGCAGGACACGACAATTGCGTGAAGTCACACATTGGGTATCCACATTTTCTGTAGCTAATCCTCGTAGAAACCATACTTCGCTGATCTATGCAGCTCACCATAGGCATAGCGTTTGAAGCTGTGTGAGGCGTGCATGTTATCTGCAATGTTTGTGTCTTGAAAAGCTGGAGCTTTGGATCGAAGGTCTTGCAACAACATGCTACCCTAAGCATCCTTGGGCCTTCCATGGCAGGGGTCGGACCCGACCTTTTCGCAGGGGTCGGGACCCGAACCAAACCCTATATGTATTTGAGGGCCCAGATTCTTAGGGTAAAACAACAATTGGAACATGTTGCTACCTGTTTTCACTCGACATCACTTCCACCTGCTATACACACCCAGGAAAAAGACTCCAATCATAGATCGCCTTCAGGATGCCCAAGTGGGCATCGTCGGCTAATCTGTCCTACTCCCGCTACTAGGGTGGAAGAAGCCGTTACACCCTCTGGCACCAGGGGAAAGAAAGCAAAGACAAGTAGTAGTATTGCTAAGTCTCCTGGACTCTTGGACTCCTGGACTTAGCAATATCTTGACAAGTACCGTAGTCTTCCGAAAGTATCTCACGGTGCGGCTCGTTCGCTTTGCTTCGCGTCAGCCGTCTGCACCGATCTCCGGACCGAACCTGTTGAGCTTCTTCCACGAACGGATGGGACTCGAGTGACCTCCACGAACTGAAGAAGCTGGAGGTGGCTCCTGGGGCTACCAGGTACTAGACTAGACATAGATTTGCAGTCCCTTTTGGCCAATCAATGCCTTATGAACAAGTGCAACCAGATGAATTCCAAGATCTACAAATACGCACTGATTTGGGATCTGCTGCTCACTGAGGGAACCACAACAAGTTCGTTTCACTGGAGGACGTGGAGGCCTTCCTTCCCCCTGACGTCGATAGCCCACGTCGAGAGCTACGGTGATGGTCCAGGATCTCGCGGATGGACGCTTGCTGGTGCCGGGCCCCAGCGCACTGAACGGAGAGCGGGGAGATGGAGTGGGAGCCAGCTGGGCGGACGTGGATCACCAAGCTCACCAGCAGCTGCAGCGCAAAACATGGGGGGGGAGGATGAGTTGGGGACACTGAAAGACTGAAACATCCATAACCGGTGGGTTTTTGTTGGGACCCTGAAGGGGGTCAGGGTTAGAGGCTTTGGTTTGGGCCATTGATCCGAGGATATTGAGAAGAATCTAAAAAGCTGTAATTACGGACGTTTGGTATCAGATTAGATGGGAAGACTGAGGTTATAGTTTGCAAAGCACAGGGTTCCCAAGTCTTTTTCCAGTTGGAAGACTTTTGGAAGAACTTGATGGCAAATGGAACAGCCCAAACAAGATTGAAGCTTAAGCAGCTTAATGGTTAAGTTAAGGAACCTATCAACAACTTCGGTACCTCTGATAAAAGTCTGATGGAAGAATTGATGCACGTCTGTGACATTGAGTGAAACGTGAAACATCAGACGTTTGGATGGCGGATGTGTCACTACAAAGCCAGGGTTTCACAGATCGCTCATAGGGGGAGGGACAACCCTGCAGGACCCGGGTGTCATTGGCCAAGTAGCACCTCGGAGTGTCACAGGACTCTTGATTCATAAAGCCCCCCACCCATTTGGAGTGTAAAACCTCATTATGGAGGGGTTGATGAAGTCTACATACCATATTGCACCCAACAGACAGGGGAGATCCTCCGTTTGGTGTGACCTGGGGGGTCCAGGATTCGGGCCTTTTTGGGTTTGATCGGAGGACGCAGGAAGCTGCATCGATCACAGCAAGGCTTTTGCGCTTCCTGAGCAAGTTGGTCGTCAAGCATCGAATTCGGGTGTTTTCTGTTTGGATTCATGGTGGAGCATCGGGATCCAGCTGTGCGTGGTGCCTACCCCGAGTCTACGCCACATCCAACAGCCGAACAGGGTGACCAAAGGCTCAGTTGGAGAGAATGAAGTTTTGGGGCTCTCAACATAATCACCAGTTAGCGCTTCTCCCTGCGCTCTCAACCAGCGCCGGTCCAGGAGACCAATCGACCGACCTGTTAGGACCGATCCGCTCCGCTCGGTCCTCCTCCCAGGTGCTCTCGTTGCTTCTGGCCCTGCGTCACTGGGAGTGAGCGTTGGCCGTTGTGAAATTGGTGACGCACCTGGGAAGAGCGAAGGGAGCGCTTGGAAGAACTGCACCAGATTGAAGCCCCAAAAAGAACCGGCTGTTGTTTATCTTTGCCTCAGATTATGAGAGATTTCTTCCTCTAACTAGTAGTAATTAGTGTGGGTTAGACAGTCGCAGTCGAAGTATCATTTCATTTACCTGTTTCAACAGGAAACCCAAATGGGTTTATCCAGGAGCTGGATCAACATGGTGCTTTGCTGTTTTGCATTCCACTTACCAGTGCCTAGCTCCAGGTAGAGCAGAACGCCATAAAAACCCACATCAATCATGATCAATCCAGGTCCCCATCCCCCAACCAGGTGGTTTTGTTTGGCAGGAATGAGGAGTCTTTACTAGCACAAGCAATCGTGCAGAGGATCAACATATAGTCTTTAGATGTCATTAAGACTCAGACAATACGCTGATACACTTGATTGATAACGATTGCTAAAGATATAGCAAAACGAGACATTGACATTCCCCTTCTACGCAATCTTGACACTTTCAGGAGATCCCCAAAGTATTAAAACACATGTGTTCATCCAGCAGAACCAGGATACATGGTGAAAAAAGCATGTGACCCCCCAATATATTTCTGGGGGGGAACTTTGTGAGGAATTTTATAACATCCACTCGACTCTGTTAAAGCGCTGACTTCCTCGTGGTGACAAGTCCCACCAAGGCTCCAGCTATGCGAGTCCCGGTCCAGAGGTGGCCGCCGGGGTCGGGGTGCGGGGTGCTGCATGGCGGGGTGGAGTGAGTGAAAAGAACACCGAAGAAAGCAACGCTTCGTTCAAGAGTTCCAGTAGCCGCTTCAAGAAGAGTAGAATTCAACACTGGTGAAGGCGTGTACACAAATTGGACGTTTGCACAAGTTCTTTTGCAGAGGCTATCGGCTCTAGTGTGGCGCGAAAAGTACCGATGGCTGTACAGTGATGGTAAATGTTAAAGGATTAAGACGTCAGGTCCTTCTTGGCAGCTTCAAGCATGTTTTGTTTTTCGTGTCATTTTGTGTCGAGAATTTGCTGGACTCAGCGAGCCTCGGTGAGCCTCTTGCACCTGACCTCTGGGCACCTATAGACACAATTCAAACAGACAGTTGATGACTTGGTGTTCTCTTATCTCGGCATAGATGCTCAGTTGGCCCCACATAATGAACTTCCAAGTGTGTTATGTTTTGCAAGTGCTGAAAGGCTCATAGTCTTGCTAAACTCACCTTCCAATAATATGGACTCTTGATTTCGTTTCACCACCTAATCAATGTTCTTGTGAGCATCTTGGAAGATGGACTCGACTCGCTCTCTTGCACGGGGCCTCTATAGAGGCCTATCTAGGAACCTCGAAATGAACAAAAATGCTCTCCCAGGATCCAACTCGCTCCAAGATTATATGGAGATGGGTCAAAACCCGGAGCCCTCATCCACCATGTAGCTTGACCTCCAAGGTAGGTGAACCAAGGTCTCCTGGTCGCTCCCGGATGATAGAGAAATCACCAAGAACCGCTCCATCTCGGATGGTTGGCTCGTCGTTCGCCCCACCAGCCTCGGTCGAAAGGCTGAAGGGACGGATGCGCAGATGGAGGTGCCGATGGCAGGGGAACGTCATAGACGGAGGGTGGCAGTTCTTTGTGCTTTATACATGAGAGGCAGGTTGCAGAGGGCGGGTGACTGCAACATGATGATGTCTTGATTTCCATGGCGCTGCATGTTAGGACGGAACACACTCTAAGTGTTGTTTGCGCGGTGGCGACAAAATGTTGTGCTTTGCTTAAGTTCACGGACATGTTTTCTGAACAAGGTTCAGGACTGGTATTTTTTCCATGAATTGGCTGCAGGATGAGACTGCACTACACAGCAACCAGCACAATGTGTTTGTTTGCTATGGCGGATCCATGCAGATCGGGGTGGCTCAGTTGGGTCAAGCTGATACATGAACTCGTGATCCGCATAGTTTAATTGCTCTCTTTAGGGGGAGTTCTGTGATGTCTTCAGCTTTCAGGAATTGTGAGAACAGCTATTTACCAGGCTACCGCCTGCAGCCGCCGACCCCCAAGGGATAGAACCTTAGCGCTAGCCTTGCTCTATGTTAGCCTTAGCCTTAAGCCTTAGCCTTAGCCTTAAGAGTGCAGACCCAACCCAGCACGACCAAAGCAGGTACCCAAAAAGTCGACTTTTTGGGTACCTCCCAGATTTACCATCGGACGTCAGCTCTTGCATGAACCCCGATCATTGCCCAAGAATTTAGACCCAACCCTTCACCACCAAAGCAGGTACCCAAAAAGTCGACTTTTTGGGTACCTCCCAGGTTTACCAATTTAGACCCAACCCAGCACCACCAAAGCAGGTACCCAAAAAGACAAAGCCTAGAGCATTCCTAGGAAAATGCCAGAAAAGCCTTTGAAAATCTCATAAACCAACAGAAAACGTGACAAAATCTACGAAAAAGCAAGGGCATTGGCCGGGACCATGCCGCGACCAGCCCGGGATTCGAGCCCAGGACCATTTTGGACCGTGCTTATTTTCCCGCGCGGGTCGAGAGGGTACCCCAAGATGTAAATCAATTGGGATGGCAGAATCTTGGACAATTCCCGGGTCGCTCAGGTAGCTTTCAGGGCACGATTTCGTAACTGCAACAAGGGTCCGGAGGGGTAGGGGAGGTAAGTCTAGGTCTAGGTCTAAGGCTAAGGACTAGGTCTAAGGCTAAGGACTAAGGCTAAGGCTAAGGCCTAAGGCTAACATCGACAGTCACGCCTCACCCCACGGTGTGGGGTCGGCGGATTTTTACAACATATTATACAGTCCTGTTAAAGCAGATCGAATATGACACCTGTCCAAAGAGACTTGGAACCTTATGCATTTACTCCCCAAAATAGCTTGAATATAGGTGCCAGCACCTGTTTGGCAGAGAGGGTCATGTCCCAGATAAACTATAAGCGTACGAAACATACTATAAGCGTACGAAAGCGTAGCATTAAAAAGTATTCAACAGAACTGGGGGAGGCGGCGTTGCTAATGATTTAATGCATGGATGCGCCGAACGCCCAGATGGAGCTGCCGACGGAGGAGATGCAGCTCTTCTGGCTGGCGCAGGTGGAGGGTTCGAGCTGGGACAGATGCGGAGAAGTCACTGGCTGGTTTGGAGGAAGCTGAGCTGGGATATTCATGGATGATATTCAACATAGCACCATCCAACAGGTCACCACCTGCTACTTTTAAGTCTCCGAATGCCACCAGAGGAGACCTGTTGGAGGGAGCTGGTAATTATGTACATGTGTATTTATATTTATGTTTAAGTCCTTCTAACAGAGGGCAGAGCTCCCGGAGATCGTTCTGCGAGCCAAAGGTTTGATGTGTGGAGGTCTTTTTCGATTGGTTGTTTTTGGTTCGTGACCTGGGATTGATTCTCCCCCGTTTCGAAATGACCGTCGTAGTCGAAAGTGGGGGGAATCCGGTGGTTGGTGGAGTTGTGTGTGCCCCCCCAAAAAAGCGGCTGCTCGCATGTCTATACTTTGACATCACACGTCCCAACTCCAAGGGTATTGGTATCGATGCTTAGGGCTGCCCGCATGAGAGAACCTCCGAACACCCGTTGCTCTGTAGAGACCCGAAAAGAGTCGTGCTTGGGCACTGAAGCACCCAGACGTTGGCTTGGCTTCTCATAGACCTGATCATCTTCCCGAACTCCTCCAACTTGTGGCTCCAAGATGCTACAATTGTGGCTCCAAGATGCTCCAAGCAGCTCCAAGATGCTCCAAGCACCCTCAGAAGGTACCTAGGATATTCCA